CCTGACCCGTCATGTCAGCCAGTGCCCTACGACGGGCCCATGTCAACCAGTTATTCCAAACCAAGTACATGCGGCCCATAGAATTTTCCAACCCAATGCTAACCCATTCTCTAGTCCATATAAAATTGGGTGGGAAAATCAGCCCAACTTCAATTATAGGGCCCAAGTCCAAGAAAACCCCCTACCAAATATGCACTCTTAGTGGTCTGGAGCCCAAACTCACTAGGAGTACAATGATTACCATGGGACTCAACCGGCTCAATGATGTCAAACCTACTCACAGTCCCAACAATATCATCATTCATTTAACTCTATGGCCCAAAGTTTTTAGAGGACACAAGTATAGAGTTCATTCTAGTAGGTGTACCCTAGGAACCAACCCGTTCAACCGTATCAGGCTTATCCACAACCTCCTCAAACCTGTACCGTCGATGACCAATTCATGAAGCTTTAGCATCTGATTCTAAACCAGCAGCAGTCCATCGATAGATTAGAAAGCCAAATAGGACAACTATCCGAAGCCAAGAAGAGGAGAGGAGTAGGGCAATTACCAAGTCAACCGGTTGTGAGTCCTAGAAATCAGCCACCGGGTTTTTCTCCACAACAAATTTAACCACCTCCTAAGAACCCTCAACCTGAAAATGCCAAAGTTGTTACAACATTAAGGAGTGGGATGATATTAGAGGACCCATGTGAGATAAAGAGAGTTAATGAAGAAGAAAAGGAGCAGGAAGACCCTAAGTTGGGGGGAGAAAAAGAAGGAAATGAAACTTCAGAATAAGAACCTTTAGTGAACCAATCCGTAGTTCCCTTTCCAATTGCAACGAAGAGAGCAGGGAAGTCCATATTAACTTCCCTCTCCTCGACGCGATCCAACATATCCCGGCCTACGTCAAGTTCTTAAAAGAGCTGTGTATTCAAATGATGGAGCCACAATTGGCCCCACAAAAAATGATGCTCTTGGCAAATGTTAGTGTAGCTCTCCTAAATTAACTCCCCCGGATCATGAAAGACCTTAGTGCTCCTCTCATAAGCTGTGTCATCACTGGAATAACCTTCGATTGGGCACTAGTGGATTTTAGGGCTAGTATAAATCTGTTTCCATCCATTTATGATAGGTTCAGGATCGGCGAGTTAAAATCAACCCTAATAATTCTGCAACTTGCTGATTGGTCAGTCAACACTCCTCGAAGTGTTATTGACGATGCCATGGTCAGGGTAGAGGGTTGTAACTTCCCATTTGATTTTATCCTAGACATGACCCTAACCGAGGAACTGAACCACATCCCGATAATCTTAAGATGTCCATTTCTAGCAACGGTCGATACAAATCTCAACTATAAATCAAGAAAAATGGACATTTCATTAGGGGAGCAGAAAGTCCGGTTAAACATTTTTAGTGCCTCTAAGTATCCAAACCGAAGGGAAGATGAGTGCAAGGTGGATATAGTTGATGATCTTTTAGAGGCCCTATCTACCCCGTGGTTAGCCCAATCTGAACCCTGTTTGTCGGAAGATGAAAGTGAGTTAGGGAGTATAGATAGAAATAGTGCGTGAATGTGTTCGGCTGAAGACATTAAACTTAGCGCTGGTTGGGAGGCAACCCAACATAGTTTTCAATTGATTTTTGTCTATTAGAATTATTGTTTCTTTTCTTGATTCAAGACCAGGTGGCATACCTTGAACCCCTCAGGAAAACCCTACTCGTTGTTCCCTTTGGACCAAATCTTCTTTGCATTATTCTAGTCATGCCATTAGGGACAATGGCATTTAAGTTGGGGGTGAGGAAAGAGAGCGGAAAGTTAAAAAAAAAGTGAGAAGCTAAGCCTTTAGAAATGTAGAATTAAAATTTCACTGAAAAAAAATTCCATTAAAAGAGACTCCCAAACAAAAAAAGTTGAGGAAACTAATAAAAGAATATCAAATTTTGTAGAAATTGGTAGCAAGTGATATGAGTCAAAATTGGTCTCATTTGAATATTGTCGAAACCATTTAGAAATTGGAAAATACTCCCAAATTTGCCCCTGCCAAGATAAGAAGAGAAAGATTGAGAAATTAGACAAAAATTCTTCAAATTGTTAGAAACAGTGGACTACCCTGAACAATGTTTCTATACAAAAAAAAAGAGAAAAAAGAAAAAAAAAGTCAATGGACACCCTAGACTTAGTAACTAGGTCTCTTCACCTAAGTTAAGTGTCGAGATTTGCGTCAAACGGGAAAGGGAATGCCAAAGACACTCACCTAACACTTAGTAACCGGGTCTCTTCACCTAAGGCAAGTGTCAAGATTCGCGTCAAACGATGGAAGGTAGCAATAAAAATAAGTGTGCATGTGAAGTTCAAGGGTAGAAAACCACTGTCAAAAATGATAAGAAGAATACATGTCTGATTTTAAAATCAATCTCAGATTATCAAGACAGTCTACAAATGGAAGGGTATATAAGATTTTTAAGTCAAGTTTCTGTAATATTCAAAACAAGACGATTTTACCCCTAAAGCCCAATACTGATCTATACAGAGTTTGAGAATGCTGGAATCAGGATACTTGGCAAATTCTGTTAGGGATGATCTTGAGACGGGAAGGATCTATATACTTAGTGTAATTTTAAGGCTGCATTGCTAAGGGACTAACAATGGTTAAGTTGGGGGGTGTGATAACTCTGCATTTTGATGCCTTAAGGGCATCAATTCAGGAGTATTTTTGGCCTTAGAGTAGTCAAAGTGTACACTTTTCCCAATCAAAATCAATTATGTGATCTCTAAGGGTCTCTGTGCAAATTATGTAGAAAACTACTGAAGTGCAGTTTTTGGGAAGCTGGTGTGAAGACCAGCTGAGAGAGGGGGTGTTTTTGTAAAGAACTGAGAATAGGAGGGTGCCTCCTATCTGCTAAAACCAGTTGGCGCCCATCTTGTTGTATTACCATGTTCCCCTCTCCTTAGCAAACCCTAGAGAGCCTTTTTAACCTAATCTTTTCACTCTTAGCAAACCCTAGCCGCCCCTAGGTGTTTAACCTCCACCCTCCACCTCTTTTAATCTCATCCTCTCATTTTCGGGTTATCCTTTATAGCTTTTAAACCCTAGGGCGCCACCTATTCTGTTAATCCTCACCATTCATAGTGATAGGACCGGCCCTTTTGTTGGACAAAGTGAATGATAAGGCTTACACTCTCTCTGATGGTAATCTAAACTTCCGGTAGTAGATTTTAATTATGTTTGAGATTTGGTTTTGCAAAATAATATATATATATATATATGTTTTATGAAAAAATGTTTGCAAAATGTTTTAATTCTTAAGATCCATCCGAGTAGAGTATGACATTGTACCTTGCAGTAAGGGGAGAGGTCCTTCCCTATCGGGCAAGATTGTGATCATTATGGGTTGAGAGGTTAAGTGTAAAAGACCATTACAGGGCTGATTACTTGATGGACTTTATTTTACTTAAGTCCATTATCCTTGGATTTTCATAGGATAGCTGAATTCGAGGATCATTTAGGTGTAAATGTTGGGCCCATATTGAGTCCCATGTGGATTTATGTGAGGTCATTGTGGGGTCCCATGCCATACAAATCGGACCTAAGTTGGTCATGCAATATATTGGGTCGTGAGCCTTTGAAGGAAATGGGCCTAAGGCCCTTAATTAATAAGATTAAGTAAGTTGTTACATGACAACTTAAGTTTTCATGTGCTCTGGGTCAAATCTGGGTTTGAAAGTGGGTATAGAGCACCCATCCTCTTAAGAGGATAAGGCTTATCTCTTAATAGAGTCTGGATCCAAATTAGATTTGGATAATCTCCTAATTTGATTGGGAGAGTACTCCATAAGGAGATAAAAGAAGAAGAGGGCGAACCAGACAAAAACACCACACTCTCTTGTTCTCTCTTGTTCTCTTTTGTCTTCCAAGAAACCATATCACGACCTAGGCTTTCAAGGACTAATAGAGATCATTTTTCTTCTGATTTTTGCAAGAAAAATTCAGACGAATTTCAGGCTCACCTTCCCCAATTCGATCCAAGTAGTTGGGTTGCAGTTTTGCTGAAAACTATGTTACTGAATCAGCTTTACCTATACACTATGCCATCTTCAGTGGAGGCTAGTTTTGAGACTGATTTGGGTGTGGACTTCCACCTTGGGATCTGCGCTTGTGGTATTTGTATCAGGTATAAATTCCCCTCTTTGTTTGGTTTCAAATCTGGTCTGGTCAGTGCAAGACCGATCCTGAAAATTATAGTTTTTTAAAACATAGGGAATTCATTTCCCAAAAGGATTAGGAAATTTTTGAAATTTCATCCAGTCATCTAGCATAGTTCGGCCATCCATATGATGAATCCTAACCCTTCCAACATTTAGAAGAGTTCAATGCAAAGAAGACTAATTAAGTTTCTTAGTTTCTTTTGGATAAATTAAGTGAGATTTTTCTTATTAATCTAAATGTAATGTCCCAAGTTTGTTATTTTTCTCATTTTTCAACTAATGAATCTTTTTTCTTTTTAATAATAATAATAATAATAATAATTATTATTATTATTATTAATATACTTTCTATCAGTTTAATTTGCACTTATATGTTATTTTCATCATTTTACAAACTTTAATTAATTTTTTCCTTAAATTGTGAGGCTTATGCCTTGCAACGCCTTGAGACTTACTGCTCACCTTTTTGGGCCATTACACCTCAACTATGCCTTTCGCCTTTTAAAACTTTGCACTCTGCTATGAGCTCCTGTAGGGCCATAGTCTCATTCTACTAATATTGTTGCTAGGTCTTAATTTCGCTATTTGAAATTGGACCCGCTACGTTTTTTTAGCTATAATTTTATATTTTAACCCTAGAATATATATCCACTACCTCACAGCTAGACATAGACATGGTGATCAATTCAGTTCTTATTGCATGAACCATCACAAATGCAAAACAGGATGCATGGGATTCCATCACACAAGAAATCACAATTAGTAAAAGATTGGATTTCATCTTTTCTTACAACAATTCATCTTCCTTATTTTATCTTCTACAGTTCTACCATTTCAATTCACATCATATTCACACAAGTCAAAGCATATACAAGCTTAAGTGAAGTAATAACAAGCATCTCACCCAGCATGCAGATCACAATTATTCACAAGTAGTAGATAATATACATGTTATAGAACACTATTATGCACACATGGTGCATCAACTAGCTCTGTGTTTGTATATTTGGGAACGCCCATGAGGTGCATTTAGGTTCCACAACCAAGACCTGAACACGTAGAACCTCATGAATGGCTCCTCGATGAAGCACCCTAAAAACTTCATCCTCCTTGGCTGTTGCAAGATCCCCCAAAGAGACCACACGAGAGTGAGACTCATCATGCAAGCGGAAGCCATAAAACCACCTACCAAGCTTCCACCATCTCACACAGACTTCCTGTTCTGATATATGACAGCCACACAGGGCCTCCATGACCAAATCAGCCTGTCAATGATGATTGCAAAACAAGCAATATAAATGACGGTTAAAATACACACAAATTCTCAAATGATTGAGAAGTTTATACAAAGTCGAATATGGTTAATCCAAGGAGAATCAAATATGTGAATGTCGAACTGGTGGTTAGTAGAATACAGCTTGCAGAAATGAGTCAGATAAAATTTCACTTGGTTGGCCTACAGCTGAAATCATTAAAGCATCTCAAAATAGCATTTCAGATTGATAGAACCATTGTAAAGTTTTCAAAGTTCGAAAAAAATGCAGACTGCATCCAACCTCTTGAAAGAGATGAATGAATTATCAAGAAAACTTCATGATGACAGACTATATCATCTTGTTTTGGGTATATTTTCTTTAATAAATAGTACCTGTTCCAAATGGAATATCAGAACCAGGGTTATTACATACAATTACAATAAAATTGCAGTGATTTTTTATCATTAATGCAGTGAACTTATTTACAGTGTTTATATATCTGTAGCTAACCATACAACACCATTTCTATTTTATTTTGATAGATAATGAGAGGGTATGCCTTGAAGAAATGAAGCGACCATATGCCAAAAACATATAAATAAATGAGCAAGAACAAGACAAACCGAGCATGCAACACACTGTCAGATGGAAAACATCCTTCTATGTAGTGTCTCATACCTATTTAATGTTAAACCTCTCCACAGGTGAACTCATCTTGTGTTCTCCACTCTCTTCCAGAGAGGGCTCACGGCTCTTTTGAGAAAATGTCAAGATTTAAAGGTCTCATTATCAGATGCAAGCCCAAGGGGTGGCTTCATAAGGCCAAAAGGTAGGGATAGCCAGATAGGGCCAAGGGATGTCTTTATAAGGTGAAATATATGGTCACCATTTTATAACCGAGAAGAGCACAGGGTATAAAGTCTATCCAGTGGTCTACTTGAGGAACTGATCCCAGATCCTAATCTATGGTTTCCCATAGAAGATATCCAGAGAACCAAGATCATGCTGATCCATCAGCTAGAAAGAAGGTTAACAAGCTTCCACTGTAAACTTTCATTAAAGAACTATAGAGTTCCAAAAGATATCTATCATCAGTGTCAAATGGTAAACAATGGAAGTGGTGATATCCATTACCCTTACCGAAATTTGGAGCCAAAATATGGAATAATGTACACCAATCAGGTTAAGAAGCACATTCTTCTTTGTGAACAAGAACATCTGGACATCCTTAAATTCCATCTTCATTAAACAAAGGTCTTCAATGGCTCTGAGGTAGTCAGCTACCTCGAGTGATTTACATGGGGAGCACTGCTCAACAAACTTAACCATGGCGGTAGCTTTATTATCCATCTCATAGTGCCTCCTGATGTAGAAACCTTTCCACCCCTGCAGTAACAAACCAGGTTTATTATTGGATTTTCTGCAAAAGAAACCTGTATGATCAAAAGAACAATAAGAATTCAGCGCAGACCATAAAAATGACTGGTAGCTCATTATTTAGTATTAACACTATAACATAATATACCATCCAAATGCCAAAGAGAGTGAAATTCAATGACAGGTTAGCTTCCAAATGGTGAAATGCAAATTATTGTTATTTATCCACAAACAATCTGTTTCCAATTGATTACCAGTCCCTTATTCTGGTAAGCCTGATTACCGATCCTTGTTTATAGTTGGCTTTGTCAGAAGGGCCTTAAGGAAGACAAAAGTAGCACCCAGGGGAACTGGGTATTCTTCTTAACTTTTTAAAAGCTCGAGCTATCATGAAATACTCCTTTCGAGGTTGGGTTTTGCCAATCTCTATAAATGAATGGAAATTTTATCCTGTTCAACTCTGTTATTTCCCGGGCATACCATCAACCATGTTCTGGATTCCCCTACCCTAATAATGGAAAAAAAAAAGAGAAAAGCTCATAGATTTCAATTACCAAAAAAAAAATCAAATTTGCCAATGTTTATACGAATTATAATCCAGCTTTCAAGATAAACTTAAAAAAGAGGAAACAATAGAACTCTGAAGAAATCAGGCTTTAAATTATAATGGAAATGAAGGAAATTGTAACAAAATTTATGAGAACTAATAATAACCTTCATGGAAGAGAATCGATCCGTCGAAGCTTCTTCAAGCTGTCCGTTATCGACGTTCTGGACAGGGGATTGGAATGGGAAATCCAAAGAAGGCCATCTCTCCCTGGAGAAAGAAAGCCATATACAATCCGACGCGCACAAATCACGCCAAAACCGGGAACAACTACCCAGAGAGCATACATCAGTGACCTTCCCTTCACAAAAAATAAAAATGAGGAAAAATCAACATCACAACCGAGAAAGTTCAGAGAGAGAGAGAGAGAGAGAGAGAGAGAGGTGTACCTGGAGGAAGGATGCGATCTTGAGAGCAATATCGTCGGGGATTGAGGTGTGTGTCCACTCCCACCGCTTCATTTTTGAGGAGAATTTCTCTCTCTAATGCGCACAGATAATGTAAAGGGAAGAAAAGAAGGGATAGGAAAAACGATGAAGTTCCAAATGTCACAACAGAAAAAACTGAAAAATAACAGGGGAATGTTTAGTAAACAACGAGTTTATGCTATTCTCTGATACTTCTCCCTCTAGACAAGGTGGGACCCGTGCCTATGCTCGTAGTTGTAGGATGAGAGGTATGCTATGCCAAGAGTTGCACAAAATGTCAAAATACGAATTCCATTCTCAGCATAAGAAAATAAGAAATCTTCCATTCAACACCTGAGTTGGTTGGGTATGGTTGGACCCGATTCAGTAAAAACTAAAAAGGTCTGATTCTCATTCCAAAATAGAGTTGCCTAAGCCTAAGCGGTGTCGGGGCTGGACAGCCCAAAGCCCACAATGTATTTAGCTAAATCCCTTGTTGCAAGGTTCAAAATATCGATATGCTCGATTATCAGCGTATCGGGTAATATCGATATTTTTTTATTGTTTTTTTAAACTAATTCAAGGGAGTCGGTTTAAAACTCCTCCACCCCTTGAAATGGTCAGAATGTATCAGAAAGCTCCCAAAACGATATGTATCGATCAATACGGGCCGATATGTGTCAATACTTTAAACCTTACCTTGTTGAATTGATAAATAAATAAACTTTCAGCTTTTTTATTCATTATTAATTACTCGGGTAAAAAGAGATGTGAGAGTAAGAAAATGCTCATCTTCTTCAACAATTAGATAAGTTATTTACCTCGCAAGAGATATCCTGGATTACTGTTAAACCCAATATAACAGCAAATGAACATAGGTATTGTGGTCACTAAAAATACATGGCTGAGTTGGAAAAATTGGCCCATGATTATTATATCGAGTAAGAGCTGATAGCCACCTGGTTGGATATCATGTTATTATCTTATCATGTTGGACTGTGTCATGTCACATGTGAAGTGATTCTCAAGCATCAGTGCATCACCTCACCTTGCTTGTATTACAGCATTTCTTCTTCCAAAAGATTTAGTGCAGTGCAATTAAACCCTGATTATCATAATTCATGGCTTCATGCAGCTGAGCCCATATGGTTGGGAGTTGGGACAAGGCCATCGTGATAAGCAAACCCTGATTATTATTATTATTATTATTCAATCAGATAGATATCCTAAAATGTGATAAAACAAGAAAAAAATAGACTAAAATGATTTGATCACATATATAGAAAACCATCTACAACAAAACAAGGGGCCAGAAAGGCTAGAGACAGACGAAAATAAGACATTAAAGAAGCAAGAAATGACTTAAATGCTCATTATTTACCATAATTCATGTAGCCAACGATTAGATGATGATGATGATGATAAGGTAGATACCACAACTGGATCATTTACTCCCCTAATTATTTTGTTTTGTATAAGCTCGACATATTATGGAACTCTGATTGCCCTCAATCGTTTTATAACATGGCTAGATAAGCTAAGGGGGAAAAAAGGATGCATTCTATAAATATATATTTATAAGGGATAAACAGCAAAATATCTAACTGATTTGGAAAACAAAAACATATTGCGCTCATATTCGAAGCTTTCCCAGCTCAGAACTTGCTGCAGCCACGTCTTCTGACTCTTTTGCTATCTTCTCACCACCTTGTGGAAGCCCCTCTTGGCCAGACGGCTCCGGCATCTTCCTGGCTGGGGGTGCCGAACAAACAGGTATGACTGATCTGATCTGAACTGCTGGTGCCATGAAGTTAACAGAAGGTCCTCCATACATCATTCCTTCAGGCCTTGATCTAGCTGAACATGCAGGAATTGATGTCCTAATTTTTACTGGAGCAGGCATCCTGACGTTCAGACTCTCAGGTTGGGGGCTCACTGAAGATACATGCCCACCAGTTCTAATCATTATGGGGGCTGCAGATGAAGGTGATATATAAGATCTGGTCATTACTGGAGAACCTGCTCTAGGGGAATGATGTGGTCTAGGATTAGACTTAGCTGAATCAAAACCATGTGGATGACGCAACCCAAACTCAACACTGCCTGGATTTGCAGCTCTGTGTCTAAATCTAATATCCATTGCAGATTCCCGAGAGCCCCATCCAAACGGTTCACTATTGCTTCCTTCTGCCTTGACAGAGTGCCCAAGACCAGATTCTGACCCAAGATTGTTCTGTTTGTCATCCTCCTCCGGCTTCTCTGGTGTAGCTTGATCAGTTCGGCTGTCACCAGAAGCAGGCGGTTTTGGAGCGTCAAACGAAGAAAACCCTGGAGAATTTGACCCTATATTGATTTTATGGCCATCAGTGTCCATGTCACCATGAAGCCTCTCCTCATCTTTCTGGGTTTTTTCCTCCTTTATCTCTTGTACAGTTACCTGTGACCTCCTGATTGGTACTGGGCTCAAAGGATTTGAGAAATGCAGAGATGGGCCTGAGGAAGACATTGCAAGTGCTGGAAATGATTGTGTGGCCTCTTGCTCCCTTGCTGGAAAATACTGCCGATGGTCTGGCCCGAACATGGATTGAATAAATGGAAGAATCTGAGGGCCAGGTGGAGGAGTTAGTGCCACCGGAAGTGTCAATAGTCGACTTTGCTGCTGGGATGCCTGCTCTTGCTGCCAAATTCGGTATACTTCAGGGGCGAAGTTGGAATAGGCCCAATTCTGATAATGCACAGGAAACAATGATACACCACCACTGGGAGGGTGCATGTTCCTGCGGACAGGTGGAGCTGATTTCCTGCGTCGACGTTGACGATCATTTTGTGTTGACTTGCTTGCATCTGCAGGAAGCAAACTAGCAAGAGCACGAGCAACAATAACCTGTTCCTGTTCCTCGTTGCCTTCAGACTCCAATGAAGGAGAGGAAGCCGAGGAAGAAGAACCAACATGTGACACTGCATAACCACCATAAAAGAATTAGAATGGACAGAGGTCTATACAGCTATATGCTATCAAAAACAGCTTAACTGGTTATGGATTTTGCAGGTAAAAAGAAATTATCAAAGCAGAGATCAAATAAAAAGGTCACTGATATACTTTCTGGTCTTTATTGACCATATAACCACAGGCTGTAGTTCAGGAGAGTGGCATCCACACCACCACTCGATGCAGCTAGGAGAACTTTAGACCAATTGACCGAAGTCAAACTTATTGTATGGTTAATTTTATTTAGCCAATAGATATCTTCAATACATAGTTTTAAGTTCCAGATTCAATTTGGTCTGAAACCCATAATTTTGATGCCAATGTCAGTTCAATTAATGATAATCTCAGTCAAGATATAAGAAAATAGTTTATCAGAAATTAAAAAAAAAAAAAAACTTTAATAAGGATGACTTCTTTACTTGTGCTTCTTTTTCAATGCCCTCTCACAGTCCAATCCTTTGGGAGAGACCTTCCCAGTGAAAGAAATGAGTAAGCCTATCCCACCTAGAGTTCAAGCTTTGTGTTGAGAAGTATTCCTTAGAAAGATAAATACCTATGACATGCTCCAAAAAAGAAGGCCTAATAAATGTCTTTCTCCTCATTATGTGTTTCCTTTGCAAAGCAAGTGGTGAGACCACTCCTCATTTACTAATCTCCTATCCTTTCAGACTTTTTTTTGGGAGTACTTCTGTTCTCTTTTTGGTTGTGATTCCTCCCGCAAGATGTGGTGAGTCTCTTTAGTCCAAATTTCTTGAGGCGGCTAAAAAAGCCAAGAGGGAGAATTATATGGAAGGCAGTCAAGGCAGATTGGTCTGGACTATATGGGAATAAAGGAATGGGAGAATATTCAATGAAAAAAGTAGGTCCAAGGAGGAATTAATAGACATTCTTAAGATCAAAGTTGCTCATTGGGTAAAAACAAGAGAAATCTTAAAAACTTTCTTAGGGAAGCTGGTAATATGGAGGTGCATATGAGTATGAATGAGAGTGTGTATGGGAGGCTGAGATTGCTCAAGAGGAGTTTGGTGGGATGATTTGTTTATTTGGGTCCAGATGAGGAAACTGTGCAGGAGTGGGAGGTTGCTGCATGGAAACCAGATGGTTTTTTCCAAGTGAGGAAACTGAATGCTGATTTCTTCTTGTTCATTTTTGAAAATGAGGCAGAGACATTTTGCTTCGAGAACATAAACATTGCTGGTCTCCTGATCTGATCTCTGGTTGGTGCCATCAGAGATGTTGGACCAACAAACTTGGTGTGGATTAATGTTTGTGGCATTCTTCTCCATGCGTGGTCTTTCAAAACTTTTGAAGCTGTGGGTGAAGCCTGTGGCAGATTCAGATTTATTGATCCAAGAACAAGCTCCTGGAAGATTCTAGATTTCATGTGTATCCTAGTTGAAAGTGGATAAAATCAATCTAGTGCCTTCCTCCTTGCCTTTGAGGTTTGCGGGAGAGACACATGACTTGAGACTCGTGATTGAGGGCTCGCATCTGAAGAGATGAGTGGAGAATATGGATTTGTGGGGGAAGAAGGATAACAAAATTCTGCAGATTGATGTTGTTACAGAGAGGAAGTCCAACAGTCTGTATGACTTAGAAGTTTCAGAGGTTGAAGACAAGGATAGTTCCAGAATTTTGGGTATTAGTACCCCTAAGGAGAGTGGTGAATTGGGTCTTGAGTTGTGTTATGACAGCTGGGTTTCGAAGAGTTGAGGGGGGTCCCAACCTAAGGATGTTTCGAATTCTAAAGTTGGTTTGTTGTCTGTGGAAAGCTTTGGGGATAAAGTGCAAAAGGGGCTGATAGGACACATGGAGGGTCAAAAGGTTAAAGATGTGGAACTAGGGAAAGAGATGGAGAAAACCATGAATAAGGGAGTGGAAGAGTCAGCTAGGGTCACGAATTTGGATGGCGAACCAGGAGGGGGCCAACGCAGGAGGTCTAGTTTTAATAAGAGGGGAGACCGGAACAGGCTGTCCAAGTTACCGGTTGTTAAGAACATGCTTAGGGAGATTTCAAGAGATGGCAGAGATTAAAGATCGATCTAAAGAGGTTGAAGGGGAGAAGTTCACTGGTCGCAGTATCGGTCGTATTGATCATATCAATGGTGAAACTGGTCTGTCTACAGGGACACGTCATCTGTGTTACGATGGATCTACAGTGGTATGTGGTGATCAAGTTAGTCAAGACAATACACTCAGATCATCTAAAGAAATTGTTTTATCTTTGGTGGAGTCACGATTGAGAGTTTCAGAGAAGAAAGGGGAAGGGAAGGAGCCGCGGTTGGGGGTAGGTATGGGGGACAGCAAGAAGACATTGGATTTTATGTGGAAGAGTAAGAGACTATTGTTGCTGATGAGGGTGATGCTGTTGGAGAAGGGTTCATCTCTGTGGTTGAGCCTTCATCTGTTTCTCCAGTTTGCTTTGAGGAAAGGAATGAAGCAAAGGAAGCTGATCTAGTTCCAAAGAAGACTCAGGCTTCTAGTAAGATGCATATTGTCCATGTTATGAAGACTAAAGCCCGGCTTGGTCGGAGCAGGGCCCACAAAAAATTTTAAGAAAGTTTACAAGAGAATGGGTGTGAAGACAAAATTGTCAAAGTTAGTTTATCCTGGTGGGGGAATTCAGAAGAAGACTCGAGTTTTTTTTTTTTGATAGGAAATGGCAACTTTCATTGATGAAGTTAAATAAAGATTACAAATATCACCACCCACAGGATGATTGGAAAAGCCAAAAAAAGTTACAAACAAGCCCAAAAAAGCCTCCCTATTAACTACTTGCTTAACTAAAGCGGCAGCCATTCCATTTGCTAACCTTCTTACCCATTTAAATTGCACCCCAAGCTCCCTTGTTAAGCTTACAAAATTACAATCGCTCTTAGAGGCTATCTAAGTGATCACATTCCCAGGTTTATAGATTGCATCCACCCTATTACCAGCTTGGAGTCTCCTTCCACTTCTAAGTGTTGCATTCCCCATTGTTGCCAATCTCAGGCTTTGGAGTAAGGCCTTGATTTTGGCCCTTAAGGAGTCTCCTGTCTCCCACCCCAATCAGGCCCAAGTATAGGGCCAAAACTCTTCCTTCCTCATTTCTAAAAACACCCTCAACTCCCAACAGACCTGGATTAGCTAATGAGCCTCTATCAAAATTTAATTTCACCATGTACTAAAGCGGTGGGACCAACTCTCTTGAACTAAAGGGGAAGAGGGAAAGGATACAACTATAGAACCCCAACTTCTAATTAAATCAACTGAGGAGAAGTCCTTGAATAGATGCACAGCTTTCAGCCAATGTAGAAGCTTGATGGTAATGCCCTCAAAAAGTGCTTCCTAGGATTTTTCTTGCCCTTTGAAAATCCTATTATTTCTCTCTCCCCAAATCAACCAAAGGATGGCTGCTCTTGTTATTCTCCATATTACCCTACCTCTTTTCTTTGGTTGTTGGAAGAAGCTAGAGTCAAAAAGGTTCAGCACACATGAGGGGGGATTCCACTACAACCAAAAGGTGAGGAAAATCAATCCCACAAGTAAGAAGACAAAGGACAAGAAATCAAAAGATGAATCACCGTTTCACCACTTCTTAAGCAAAGGCGACAGACATGTGGGGAAAGGCACCAACCTGGCCTTTTTCTTTGAAGTACATCCATACTATTGATCTTTTGGAGAGCCACTTCCCAACAAAAAGCCCTAACCTTTGGTGGAATAGGAATAGAGTACACCACACTTCTTTAGCAGGAAAGGAAAAAGACACAACAGAAAGCTGAATTAGGGCATTGAAAAACGAGGAGCAAGAGAAGAACCCTGAAGAGGACTCTATCCAAATTCTACTGTCTGGGCAAGAAAGATCTAGGAAAACTGAACTCAACAAAGTGAACAGTATTCTCTAGACTAAAGCTCGGCTTGGTCAGAGCAGTTCCCACAAAAAATTTTAAGAAAGTTAAAAATAGAATGGGTGTGAAGACAAAATTGTCAGAGTTGCTGAAAGCTGAACTAATGGCCTTGTTACAAGGATTAAGATTAGCAAAGCAAGTTGGCTTCCACAAGCATGCCTTCAGGCAAAGCAATTTGGAAGTAGGGGGAACTCAAAATTGGTCATATCTTGGGCAAAATGCAACTCTGGATCTACAGGCATGCCTTCATGGAAATAGAATGTCTTTCATTGGAGCCAAATACCATCTACAATTGGGTTTGAAGATTGCAAAAGGGATGGTGGATTCACTGGAAAAACAAGGAGTTAATAGGAAACAGTTATTTTGGGCTTTAATGTGACCTTCAGTGTACTTTGTGGGTTATTGGAGCTTTCCAACCTATTGTACTAAACTTCATTCACATAATTAATAAAACTTTCTTTGCTGATCAAAAAATAATAACAGAGATAAAAACAAAAAGAGATTTTAATAATATATAACTTTTCACCTTTCTTTTGTTTTTTTTTTTTTTTCTTACTACTTCCCTGATTTTCTATATCATTTGTATATCTTTTATTTTATCTCTATTAGGACCACAACTAATGGAAGTTTATCCATGTAACCTGTACTCAAGCTCAAATTTAACCTCTTGACATTGAAAAAGAATACATAGTTTTGAATCAAAATTTAGATTCATACTTAATGGCCCCAATTAAAGGAATACAAGGCATATGTGTATTATTTGTCATCTACATGACTTGGACCTTATATTTTTCTTCAAAAGAAAAAAAAGAAACAAAAGAAAACTGAAAGCTGATTAATAAAAGGAAAACTAGACCACTATATAGGAGAGAAAAAAGAAAAGAAAACAATGCATACATTGTTTCAGGGCAGACCAAGCTGCCATTGCAGCATTCTTCTGAGCTTGCTTCTTGGTCTTAGCTGGTTCTCCTGTAAAGCTCATTCCTGCAAGCTCAACCGTGCATGAGAAGACAGGAACATGACCTGGTCCAGATCGAACAGTAGTATAAACAGGAAGGTTTAACCCTGCTCTGTGGGCTGTCTCTTGTAGCAAATTTTTGTAAACTCCCGTTTCATCCTATGTGGCAGAAGAAACACCAACAGAAAAAGCATAAATGACTAGCTATATTATTCATAGGAGTGCCCGCAAATTAAGTAAAAGAAAAAAAGATGTGAGGTATATATATATATATATGCAGAAAAATGACATTTCATTAGAAGCTCCTTATTGTTCTGCAGATTACTGAGATTGACATTTATCATAGTGGACCAAGGACAAATGTTGGTGTAACCTAAGTCATCATGGGGCATATATACAAATGCACATACAAGCATACTGTTGAGCTATTGGATTGCAGTGGCGCAGTCTTTGTTTAGTAGTGCACTACATCCACATAAGTACACATATCAAATGTGCAGTGTGAATCTGTGTATCTTTGATTTCATCTCTAAGAGCTTACTTGTTATAAAAGTGAAAACTCAGGTTAACAGGTCCTGTTGATAGGTTAGTGGAATCTGTGGAGATGATAGGAAAACATGGAATTAATGGAGTTGGTGAGATGGGAACAGATGAAGCTTTTGAAAAGGAGATGTGTATTTTTCTTATCGTAAGACAGATGAGTGGTTAGTGGTAAATGTGTGCTGATGGGTAATTTGCAGTTTTGCACTGCCTCGGGGTATGGCTTGCTACCCGATAATTGTTAGTTGCAGTCGCTGCTGACGTGTGTGTGTGTGTGTGTTTTAGGAGTTGTTGGTTATTCTGATATCAATTTTCAAAATTTTGGCAATTCTGGGTTTGAGGGTCAATTTTTGTTGGTTTGTTCTCTGAATATTCTGTTTAGGATTTAATGAATTCTCACTTACCATAAGAAAAACAGGTATTGTCACTGGAAAATATGGCATGCTACTGGTCAAACTATCAAAGTAAATCAATCCTATTGGCAATAAGATTAAAATAGATTGCTCTATTTCTGCTTTTTATTTCGCAGCTCTCATCTCTCTTTAAGCTTGACCCAGCATCCTCCATTTTCCTTTCCAAGCTTGGCACAGTTTTAAAATATCAAGAAGATCTCAAGCATTTTGAGGTTTTGTTTCAATTGCAAGCAATCTTGGAAATTCCAACTAGTTCAATCAAGAACTTCTGTAGTTTCTATTTGATTTGCACAGAATTCGAAATGTATGATTTGAAAATTTACAATTTGGTCCTTCAAGAAACAGCCGGAATTTGGTCCTTGCAACAATGTCTCAAGATAGAGACATTGCATTGCATCAACCTCATGCCATGATTCCTCAAGATAAACAGCTTGTCAAACACCACTAACCAAAAGAAAAAAAAAATCCTACCATAAGCCCACCGGTGTATTAGATCTACTTTATTTCTTTAAAGAGAAATGCAGAAACATAGAAGATTATGCCAAGTTGACAAAAACTGACAGCACGTAGAGAATACTGTATTAGTTCCAATTGTTGTTTTTCTTTTTTTTCTTGGGGTCATCAGAGAAGAAATAAAACAAAAAAAAATGAACATAACAGGAAAAAACCTATAATTTATTTTAATGTTTCAGGGTTGGTTGAATTTCAGTTCCACAAACTTCTAGAGAATTTGATATTGACAAACCATTAATAAAAAATATATGCTGTAAATGCAATAGGCTGGTCAACTATTTACAGTGAAACTAGTAATAAAGCAAACTAGGCTGCTTAGAATTCACCACCTCCAACCTACAGGAAATAATATAGACAACCTTTGCTTTTCCTGAAATGGGTGACACTGTAAATTAGTATGGCCAATGATCAAATAAGTTAAGTATTTGCCTTTTTTTTTTTGGGGGGGGGGGTGACTTCCACGTGAAATAGTTTTGCCAAATGCAATATTCATGTCAAAGATATTTTTTCTTGCCCCAGCTAGAGTATACAAAATGATGGAAGCAGAAATTCAATCAAAAGGGCACATGTTGAAATAAGTTTGAGAATATGGCAGAAGGGAAAATGTTTTGCAAATACATACCAAAACTTTTGCAGCCAGTGATCTAGAAGGGCCTCTCTTTGAAAGCGTATTAAGAGCTACTTCAGCTGCAGCATGTTCAGCTTGTCTCAGGGTGGTGCAAAAGGTTGGGCTTTCAAAGATCTCCCCATTGAAGTTAACTGTGGCTTTGAATCGAGGTGCATGATCAGGCCCCTCCCTTATACATGCATAAGATGGCAAATTAAAACAACTTCTTTGAGCTAATTCCTGCAGCTGGTTCTTATACATGCCTGGAGCTGGTCCCGACCATACGCGAGGAAGACAAGGATCTAAAAAAAAACAGAAGAATAAGAAACACACCAAACAGAAAAGGGTACGCATACAAAATGAAAAATAAGATTTTTTTTCTTTTTCTTTTATTTTAGGGGGGACATATTTCTTTTTCTCATAACCTGCTTGCAGTTATAATGTAAAGCACCCTCCAGTTGAGCTACAAGCTCAACCCCAGGATCTCGGAAGTTAAATGTATGTATGAAAGTAGAATATAACACCAGTGAAGGTTCATCACTATGTTCTCTGGAGGAAAATGAATTCAAGCGTTCATATATAACCATGAGATAATCGAGAGTCTCTCAAGAAAGAAATCCTAAGAAATTCTATAACAACAAATTAGGGCAAAAGAACAGCACTTCAAAGTTCAAAGGCAGCCAGCAATTAAAACCAACGAGAAAGCATCGCATAAACCAATAATTCAACTAAAGCACGCAATAAATTATTTGCTCCTAATAATTTACCTCGTCAGTTGAACTCTAACCACACTGCATTAATCAATTTCCCATTGAATTCGAAGCAAAGTACCAACATCCTTCGAAGATCAAAACAACAAATTCAATATCCAAAACCCACATCGATTAGATCACCCAAAAAACGAAAAACACCAGAGAATCAATTAGATCAAAATCTAACTCCAGGCAAAAAAATCTTGAGACACAAAAAGGGCCCCCAAAAAAATAGGAAGAAAACGCTATCCGAGCTACTAGTCCGTATAAAACTTTCACTTCAACCATCTCCAAAACCTCACGGAGACAAAAATATGAAACCAAAAACCATTTGATTCAACCCAACCATAGCTGTGAAAGAAAGAAGCCCGAGAAGATAACTGACCTAAGCCTGTCGGGGTGTCGAATTTCCAGCCTGTATGCCGGTTAAAACGATCGGAAGATTGTTTGAAACTGACATCTGATTCCCCGCAAAAGTTAAAAAACCACTGTGGAGGGATCTCTAAAGGAGAATGGGTGCCAAGAAGATCTGAACAACAAACTGAATTTTCACGCCCTTTTATGATATCTACAATCTCTCACTGCTCGCTCTCTCTCTCTCTCTCTCTCTCTACTACTGCTGACTCCTTCACAACTACGATAAAGGAGCTACTTTTTCATCAGTCATTAATACGAATTAAGTTATGGAAGTTTTGCTAATTTACACCTACCGCACTAAATTTTTGTGAATTCACCTAAATGCCCTCTTTAATGCACAGTGACAGTGGACAATAATGAATATTTTTTTCGGTAAATGACTAAACATAAAAAAACGCAATACAACATTGTTGATACGTGTCATCTAAATGCCTTTGAACCTGGCCCACGTTTGTTGCCACGTCACCCCCTCTGATGTGCTTAATGGCCCCAGAACACGTGGCAATATATCTAGCCGTTCTATCACAACCTAAAATAAAGAACCCAAGAATATTTGCATGGACCACCAGAGTGTGTAACTGGTACTGAAAATTTTAGACATGGGAAGGGAGCCATACACGTGGCATTGCCATCAAACGGATGTTCTAGATTTTCCACGTCAGCCTCCAAATGGATTAATCACAACTACCTAACCTGTGGGACCAGCCCAGACATCTCTTGATTAGGCCTGGTAAACAACCATTTTGAATGTATGGTTTAGCCACTGGATCAAAATTGAGAAATAAATTAAAAAAGTAAAAAAAACAAAAACAAACAAATTGATCCTTGGATTTGTCGATGGCCATCAAGAAAGCAGAGAGAACTTGTGGGTGCGCACACCGTTGCGCGACAAGTACAGTAGGGCCAACCCTGAAAGTGGCACAGGATGGGCTGTTCAACTCGATTTTTTCCTGGTCCAAGCCCACTATGGCCCAACCTAGGGGTGATCAAGGCCGGACCGGGTTTAACACCTTTGATAGGTCTATAGCCCGGACTCGGGTCCGACCTTTATTTATAAAATACTGAATATATAACATTTGATATTTTTATTATATAATATATATCAATCAAAATCCTCCATAAACTTTGATGAAAATCCATTGATTATGATGCCACTTGATTGGTTATTAGTTTTTCTTGTATTATGTCTCTCTAGCATTATAGTCGAATCCCATAAAAAATATTATATGTATGTTAATTAGACCTGTTCACGGGCTGGGTTTCGGGCCCACTTTTACCTGTATTAGGCTCGGGTTTCTGGCCGGACCCATTAAAATTTTGATAAAAACCAAACCTAAGCTGTGCCTGGCCCATGAACATATCTATTGTCAATAAATGAATTATGCCTAGATCTTATCAAAAATTTGCATATTAATGCAAACCTGAGCCAACACAAAACCTAAGCCTAAGCCTGGAATTTTTTAGATTAGATTGAAAATGACTCTTAATCCTAGTCCTAGGCCCCAATTCATATGGATAAAAAAATGCAATAGCTAATTATTGCATAAACTTTCCATATAAAAGTGATTTAATTTATACTGACTTCAATTTTTTAGGGTCTAGCTGTCTAGCTTGAGCCCTGGGGCATCAATATCCATTGCCACCAAAGCAATTATAATCTTAAACTGTTCCAATATCTACAAAAGTGCTCCAAATTTTCAACTTCATATGAAGTGACTTGCTTCCAAAACTTAATTTCATAGTTTCAAGGACAAAAGTTTAAAGTTACAATGCAACTTTTGTGAATTTCAATGTAAACTTTTTTCCATAATTTATGTAAAAAGAAACAAAAATGTCCTATATATATGTTTGTGAATTATGATTGGAATAACATCTAATAAGATGAAAACCAATCGGATTGGGGAAGTGTCAATAAATGAACCACAGAAATCCCATTTATAGGCTCATAGCGGATGATGTATAGCGGAAAACAAACATCAACTACTATTTGCTTTTTAATTGGGTGGCTTATCTTCTAAACCTTGATAATAAATATTATACAAAACAGTTTAGTTTATAATAAAAATATAATAAGCATTTACTTATCTTGGACTTAAACCCGCATTTTCATGTTTGTCAGCCCAATATTTTATTATTATACTAAATAATGATCATATAAATAAATAATAAAACTTAGTTTTGAATATGTCAAAAAGTTGCAAAAAAAAAAAAACGGAAAAGTAAACCGTACCACACTGCAGAATTCTGAATTCTTACACAATTCAAAATGACAAACAGTGAAATACCCCCACCCTAAAACACCAATATCCGCGTGTGTATTGGCATCAATTCTGAGCTAAAACCTACCACAATTGTATTGTAGGTTTAAAAATTCTAAGGGTGTGCTGAACAGTCATTCTCCCAAAAAAAGGTTATAATGCATAATATTATCTATAACTTCTTTAGGGTATATAGAAAAAGGGTCTATAGTAAAATAATCAAAGGAAACTAAAAATAACTTCATTAGCTTTATTAAAGTATAATCAGAAATGGAAAATGAATTATTGAACTAATGTAATAAATCTTTAATTAATAATTAAATATTCATTATTTGCTATTCTTGTATCTTGTTTGGTGCATTTAGTAATGATTATTTGATGGTTCTATAATGAACGAATAACTTAGGTTATGCTTAGTTTGGAGGAAAAGATAGGGAAAGGAAGGGAAAGTTAGGGAAACCTATGCAATGTTTGTAAAGGTTTCCCTAACTTTTCCTTCCTTTCCCTACTTTTTCCTTCAAACCAAACATAGCATTAAGATAAGTGTGTAGGAGTAACTTTAGAAACCTTGTGTGGATATTTGCAATTTATCCATATTTTTTTTAAATAGCAAGAAGAAAATACAACATTAATAGGTAATATTAAAATTGGGGGAAAATAATTGTTACTATTATGCTAAAACCTTGAAAATAAAAAATATAGCATGTATTAACAAGTTTATGTCCAAAGTCTAAAATTATGATTAGAAAATTCATATAAGAGCATGGAACCATGATACTTGAAATAGCTGAACTAGATATAGATAAAATATTTTTTCTTGATTAGTTAGTGGATAAAATAATTAAATTAAAAAATATTCGAGGGTGTAGTAATCAATCCAACTTCAGTTTCAACCATTAAGAGCTTCCAACCTCCCAAATAAGCTTAATTCAACCACTTCAGCCATTATCAAACAACCTCTAGAATAATGTAACAAAACTTTCATAAATCAATAACAAATTTTTTTCTTACTCTATATACATATTCCTCTCTCCCCTTATGTACTTTATTTTATATAATTTGATATTCTAAACCTACAATTGGCCTCGTTTCTAGTTTCGCGAGGGTTCGAGCAGAAGGAAGGGGCGCGGGATGTCCGGTCATTCCATCATAGGCAAATAACCTAGAATTGGTAGCAAAGAAAACTTTTTTTTTCCCTAAAGATAGATAGCACAAACCAAAAAGTACCAACATGTTTAATGGAATAAACAATACCATATGAAGGAAACATTTTTTGGGAAACCCTAGCAAGAGAAAATATGAACATGAATGAAGCAAATCTATACTAAAAACATCAATGAAATGCAATAGCAATGAAAAATTAGCTAAGAAATAGCTAATGCTAATTAATATCTAGCAAATCCATACATAAACAAATACATACCTGATGGACTGGAGTTGCTTCTCTTTCCATCAACCATCTCTCTAGCCCCCTTTCCCCTCTCTTGCCTGTATCCTTCTAGTTTACTGAATCACATATGTGTTGTTGGTTTTGTGGGATGACCATTGTTATATATAGATGTAAAAACTGACATTTAAGCTCAATTTGGAAAGAGTATAAATACAAATATATGTATAATATAAATATATATATATATAATACAAAATATAAAGTTTTATATTCTACATATTTGTATTTGTACTCCTTTTAAACTGATCTTTAGGAAAAATAATGAATTCTTTAAATTGAAGAGGGATAGAGAGCACATGGAATTGAGGGTGGAGGCGGTTTTTGTAGACCATTTTTAGCTAAGTTATTAAATGCTTCTAGCTGTTAAACACATAAACATACTCAGTGAGTTTCATATTAATAAATGACCATTTTTGAGCATTCAAAAAAATATAATCTTTATAGTTTTTTTGGGTAGAATTTTTTTATAACAATTGAAGTGGTTGAAATGAAAACCTTATTACTTTGTCTTTTATTTAGTAAGTTTTTAATGAGGTTGAGGGATCCTTAATGGCTAAAGTTAAAGAAATATTTATACGCTTAAATATTTTATTATTTAGTCATTTTATCTACTAAAAGACAAATCAATAAATCGTGCAGTTCATCAATTTTAGCTATAGACCAATAAGCCTCACAAATATTCGGTTTCTAATTTTTGCAAAATGTCTTATCGATAAATTTAAACCTAAGATGGTTTGATATCATTGGTTACAATCAAAGGTGCTTTTATTGAATTAAGACTCATTGCTGATAACATCCTCGTGGTAAGCAAGGTTTTCCATTGCTTCGGAACTAAAAAGAAGGGGTGATCTTACTATTTAGCATAATTTTCAAAATCGGTTCAGATTGGAAAAAACTGGGAATTTACCCTAAAATCCACTATTTTTAAAATCGGATCGGAGAAATCAGGAATCGATCATTTGATTGGTTTTGTTTTCCTTTAAAATCATTTTTTTCTCAAAATCGTTGATTTTGGTCAGCAAACTGTTGAACTGGCCGGTTAATCATTCGAATCTTTCAAACGGTTTTGATCGTTTTTAAATTTTTAAAATTTTTTTCATCAGAATGGACCAGTCGTTCGCATCGAATGGTCAGACTATTCAAACCGATAACCAGACCCCTGACCGGTTCAATCACCGGTTGGTTTTTAAAAACCATGCTAAAATCGTTATTTTCCCAAAGACCATTGATTTGGTCAGTAAACTGTTTGATTCG